GCATGTAATGTCAAGGGAATGCAATACCGTGATAGGTGACGGTATTCGGGTATTAGGACTATTGTTTGGGAATATTTTATTGGTGATATTGAATTTTGAGGAATTTCGCGTGTTATAATGTTAACAACCCGTGCACGGCAGTGTAATCTAATACTTAAGTATTTTTAACTAGGATGGTCACAACAATTGAAAACAGTTCTATCGCATTCGAATGAATCACCAATTACCTGGCTAATACTAGAGAATTCCCTGTACCTACGAGTACCAGACCAACGGAATTAATCCCGGGGCTGTACCCAGAAAAGGCCGTTTCTGAAATTGACCCTCCATATCCAGCTTCAACAACCCCTAAGCAAACTGTCGGGCCACCGAAGTCTTCTGTAATACATACCACATTTATACATACATACATAGTATGTACATAGATGCAGGATATTTTATATTGAACGTAGCCATAAAACTCTAATTAGAAATGTAACGTTAGGATAAGATTGAATAACTAGAATGAAGGCTAGGAATGAATGATTGAGAGAATGAAGGGAGATGAACGGTGGCAGGCGAAGAGCAGATACAGAGAGAATTTTGGTTTTGTACACGTGCCTCATGTTATTTTTATAATTAAGAAAAAATAAATGAGAATAAGTTACGTGCCGTATTTTATTATCAAGAAGAATTTTCCCCATCCCACACAGTTTGAAAGATAGGTGATATGATCACAATGATAACCGTCATTTGTTACTGACAATGTAGACAACGTGAAGCATAAACAATTTTACAAAATACAAACACCGCTATGTCAGAACCATGAAATAATTTGTTGACATTAGGTAGAGCTGTAATAGTTTATGAGTCACAAGTTCATTGTACTAATATTGCTCTTGCATGAAGTTATCTTTGTCTAGGCGCGTTCTTATGTAAATGTTAAAATTACTAAGTTCCCAGGCGGTACAAGGTAAATGAGCGATTACAAAGCGACTCAGAGGGCGCATACTGTACACGGCATACGTATGTTTGAGCACGGAACAAAAGGCAATATATTCCAATGACACCGGACCCAAAAATCTATTCATATTATAACAACATGTGACGCGGTCCTAAATTATAATGCTAATTAAGGGATAGCTAGCTAGCTGCAAATCGACTATATGATAGCAATATGTATTCTAAGATTTTCGCGGTTATTCATTGATCGATTAACGAACGATTATCAGTAATCGTAACGTGGTAAGAAAATGTAACTGGATAATCACTTACGTAAGGCATTCGTATAAATGGCATGTTAGATATAGGCTAGCAAAAAGACAGGAGATAAAATTTGAAGTCTGTCTGTATCTGCATGTTTGTCTGCCTGTGGCATCGTAGCTCCCAAACAGATGGACTGATCTTACGAGTCCTCCTCAGCTGGAATTCAATTTTTTCCCGTACTAATACGGTTCATTTTGCTTGGGTCGAGTGACAGGGACACTGGCTTTATTTGAAAATTAAAGTTTTTACAAACGATTTTAAAGCCTTTTGAATAATGTATATCGTATAGTACAAGTGTTCTATTTAGTTCAGTTGAATTTAAAAAAATCATTGGTATATGTAAAGTATGTATTGAATACAGCGGTTTTCTTGTAAAATTTCGAGGTAAGTTTGTGTTTCTTTTCTATCGAGAACATTTTTAGGAATAGTGTTCTCACACCGTATGTTAATCAGCGTATATCCTTAATTTTACTATATATTTTTTTCAAGGTGATTGATTCAACGCTTTCGCTGTTATGCGGAATCAACCATAGCCATTTGAGATTGTATAGACTCTTAAGGGCCTGTGCACATGGCATATTTTATACGCGCCGACGACGCTCATATTAAGCGCGTTAACGCGATTCAAATGCGATGCAGTCGCAGTGAGTAAACCTTTGCACACGTTTCACAAATTCAGTGGCGCGGTAAACGCGCATCATCTGCGCGTATACGCGCCGCAGACGCGCTGTAGCCTCGCGCATTTTGATAAGAGATAGTTTTAATTTTAGTTTTTGACATCAAGTAACTAAAAAAATATAAAAGCATGCATAACGTATCTTTTTAATCATATACTAAAATAGGTTTAAGAGAAATCACCTAGTAACTGTAGAAAACTATTACTACGCGGTTCTGGGTTTTATTTTGCATGCATTGCGCTAGAAAAGGAATAAAGAAAAGAAATCACAGCAAAAGTTATCTTCAACATGAAATTCCAAATGTAAACCCAAATGGAGAATATAATAGGCTTCTCGCTTGCAGCGCGATGTTCGATACAGACAAGCTTTAAGATTGTTGCGTTTGTATCAATACAAACGCAACAATCTGCTTTTGAGCCTCTACGGCGCGCGTTCGCAAAACACGCGTCATCGGCGCGTATAAAATGCGCCGTGTGAATAGGCTCGAAAGCGGTTTAATTTATTTGAAGGCCAATTTAATCGCAATGGTTCGTAGTTATGCTTGATGATCTGAGTCAGAAGGCCTGTTCACACGAGCTTTGCGAACCTATCGTCATGCAGCAGACATAATAGCCTTGTTTCATGTTCTCACAAATGTGAATTCACAAGAATAACACTGTACGTTATTGCTATGAAGATATTGTAGTAATGTACATATATATATTGTAGTAGCAGTAGAGCTCCTTGTAAAAGAGTTCGTCCAGGTTAGTACTGAAGTTTTTTAATTTCAATGGCCTCTCACAGCATCCCGGGTAGATAACGGACTTCTTTTGCAAGGAACTGGGGTTTGTCAAACTTGATTGAATTAAACTGTGAGTCTTGTTTGCGCGACGGTGTTTGACATCAGCTATATGTTCTTTGACGCAGGTATAAATACTTCGCTTCGTTTGTCCAATATAAGAGAGATTATCATTATACACCTTACCTATTTCAGCTGTCAAGCAGTAATGTAACCATTACTGCGTTTCGGTTTTGAAGGGTAACGGTGCTGGTGAAATTACAGGCACATGGGACTTATTAACTTATGTCTCAGGGTGACGGGCGCAGTGGTAGTACCTTTCAGATCTTTGCGATTTGAAGCTCTGAGTGGCATTGCAACTGTTATAGACAGGGTGGTAGCTTACCGCCAGACACACGACTTGATGCCGTCACTCGATATTATAAAAAAAACATACGCCTGTCCATAACATTTGCAGTGCCACTCAGAGCTTTAAATCGCAAAGATTTGTGGGATACTAGCACTGCACCCGTCAGTCCGAGACATAAGTTGATAAGTATCATGTGCCTGCAATTTCACCAGCACCCGTACCCTTCAAAGCTGGAACGCTGTAATGCTCTACTGCTTCGCGGCTTAATAAATATGGTGGCAGTACTTCTTTTCTCTCTCGGACAAACTCTTTTACAAGGAGCTATACAGCTACGAAAATGTTTGTTCATCACTACCGAAGTTAGTTTTCTATCTACACTTTAAACAAAGCGAAAGTGAGCCTCAAAGCTTTCTTGATCGTAAAGACAAACAAGTGAAAAAACACATGAAATGTTTCACTTTGTTGAATTTCCATTTAGATGTTCGCCACAGAAAATAACAGATAATATTTTTCTATTTTTTATTTTCTCATGTAGCATGTAGGCATTTAATCAAGAGGCATCGCAAGGTTACGGTGTGTTGACAACGTAAAAGGTTTTTTATTCGTGCAGAGTTATTGCCTTTGCCTTGCAAGGAGACAACATGGAGTAGCAAAAAATGTTGTGGTTTTTATAAAGAAATATACGATTCAGTGTTTATATGATTGAATAAATAAAACATTCTTTTTCTACTCCTGTACTTGAATCTGTCAATTATAATTTCATAAAGTATGTCGTAAAAGCGCTCTTTTTAGTTCTGAATCAAAATTCTATTGACGGTACTCGCCAATGAACTGAAAATTAAAGTTCTGTACACTGAACTATAACTATCTATGTGTAACAATCGGGAAAACCTAAGAACTCGTTATATGATATGTAGGTAGGTATACCTACTCACGTCTTTGGAATCACAATGAGGTAGACAAGAACTGTCAATGGCTACTTTGCACAATTTTTATTTACTTTTCGTCAATCTTTTCACACAAGTCCGCTTAGGTATAGATACTTCTCGATACGTACTTCCAGTCTTTTTAAGAACGTTCTCGATTTCATCAGAAAACGCTCTTCGTGGCCGACACCTTCCAATGTTGCTTTCCACGTTGGATCTATCTATATAATATTTAGCAGGCCAATCTGTTTACGAGTCTATACAACCTCAAACGGCTTTGGTTAATTCCGTATAACAGCGAAAGTGTTGAATCAATCACTTTGCAAAAAATATATAGTGAAATTGAAGACATACATTGATTAGTACACGGTGTGAAAACACGATTCCTAAAGATTTTCACTAGAGAAAAAAAACACAAACTTACCTCGAAATTTTACAAGAAAACCGCTATATTCAATAAGTACTTTACAAATACCAATGATTTTTTTTTATATCAATTGAATTTGTAAAGACATAAAGCCAGTGACTCCGCCACTCGACAATGACGAGCTGAAGTAGTATCCGCTCTTAAAATGCACGTTCAAATCTATGTTGTAATTAGATTAAATAACCTATTAAAGAAATAAATTACCATTATAACAGCTCTTTTACCATTCTATTTTCATTTCCTCAAACCACCTCAACACACCATTATCTGCTTTTATCACAATATCCTCTTTCAAACCACATCGTTCACGAATGATAGTATTGCTGACTCTGTCCCATAACCGTACGTCACTCTTTAACTGAGAAAACATTACCTGAAAGATAGGGTGGCTGGTAATTACATTATAAATCAAGATAATATTCTTAAATTGTATTATCTAATACTTTAATGTAATACTGGCGAGCCACGGAATTTCCTTGGGGATTAATTCAGAATAGGCCAGTGTAAGTTGATATCACTCCTCAAACAATTCTGTAGCATCTACAGTGCCATCTCGTTTAGGACATTTAATAATACAATTTCTCCTAAATAATTTCAGACCAAGGATGTCCCCGGCAGCGTCGTTCTCACAACGGTGGGCCCGAGACAACCTGATACGAGAAGCTTCAAATGAAGAGTTGACTGTCCTCGACCTCTTCCCGATAACCTGCGAAGGCGACGAGGCAGAGGCAGCGAAGAGGGCGCGACGATATTACACGGCAAGAGGTCCCGGTGGACTCACAGATTTGTGGCATAAAAGGCATCCAGATGATGAAGATATCCTCTCTAGTTGTCAAGATGCGTAAGTGTGTTTATTATAATATAATTAGATACATAGGTCTAATGATTTCGAAAGATGTGATTATAGCAAACTCTCTTTGCTTGGTGGTCTTATTGATTTGTGGCATGAAAAGCATCGGGATAATGAGAATGATAATGTAGGAAGATACTTGGTTAACAGATGCGGAAGAGCGTTTTCATTATATGATATCAAAAGAGGTAAAGGTGACTAAGAGGGTCAGAGGTTTATGGGACTTATTGATTTGTGGCATAAAATGTATCCGGATAATGAGAATAATAATATTAAAAGATACTGTTGAGTGGTAGGATAGAAGGAGAGTTTAAATTCAAATTCAAAGTATCTTTACGTCATGGGTAAGCAAAATTACACTCGAATCATCAAATTGAATAGAATAGAAACCATTTATTGCAAAACGCCACAACACAAAAATACACAGTAAGAAATAAAAAAGATAAAGCTAATTTAAAACAAAAATAAATACATAAACAAAAAAAAATTAAATTAAATGAAATACAAATAAAAATTTAGTAATAGGTCATGAAATGACCACAAAGCAAAAACATTAAATTGATTAAATACTACCGCTTATTCACAAGGCTGATTCCCCTGAGAAAAAAGAAAATTTTAATGGTTGTTCTATGTAACTAGACTCGTTGATTTGTCACTTTGTACAAGATTCATTTACAATAATTAACGAAAAATTATGTTTTTCATTTGAAGGGTAAAATTATAAAAAAAACCGTCCTCAAAAGTTCGTCGAATTACATCCATTTGCAAAGTTTTATTGAAACCGGTTTCCGGAAAGTGCGCGGAACTGGATTCATTCCCTAGTTTGCCACCCTTAGAGGTGGAATATTTTCTTCAAATTTAAATAGGACTAAACACTGATGAACAAAAAAGAATCATCAAAATCGGTTCACCAATGCCGAAGAATAAGACGTGGTAGCCTACAACCGTGGGTTCGAATCTGGGCTCGCACCTCTAAGTTTTTCAGAATTTATGTACGAAATTTAATTTGAAATTTACCATGAGCTTTTCGATGAAGTAACTAACTACATCGTGATCAAACCTGTACGTCGAAGAAGGTTCACAACTGTGTAAAAAACTGTTCGAAAATGTGTAAAGTCCCCAACGTCGCATTTGACTATGACCTAAACCCTCGCCAAAGGGGAGACCAACGCACAGCAGTGTGACGTATAAATGTGTTGATAATGATGATGACGGTGATGATAGTTAATAACTGCAAAATTAAAAATATGACGACCAAAGTACGAACTCCAATTCATGTATATTTTTAGTTACTTAGGTAAGGTTTATATTATTACATTAAATTTTGTATTAATATTTAAAAGGGTTTTAACCCTTTACCCTGGCCTTTCAGGCATTTTAATTTAATTCTAAAATGAAATATATGTGCAGAATGTTCAATTAATTGCGAAAGAGGTTGATTCCACTTTTGGTTTAATGGGTAGAATCATCCCCCACAAGACTTAAGTATTTATTAAACATAATTTTAGCGTAATTGCTTTACACACATAATTTATAAATAATGAGTTCATTTTTTTTTTATTTGACAGTTACGCGTTTAGGCTTACATAAATCAAAAACTGATATTCATGCAAACAAAAAATTCTATTTCTCTTATGCCTCTTTTTTCTTTTTAAATATGGTGTTAGACAACATCACACACTTATTATGGAAACCGGAAGCAACGGTACCACAAACACCCAGACCCGAGACAGTATAGAAAAGTTAGATTTTTTACATTGACCCGGCCGGGATCACCATGTAAAAACCACTCGACCGCGGAGGTCGTCAAATTTCTTTTAATACTACTTTAAAGAAAGCATTGTCTTTCACTGCACCGTCTTCTTTGCTCATCAACGACATTTTTATAGGAGTGCATTTGACTTCCACGTCACTTGAAGGAAAGTGACGATGACGCCAACAATGCACACCTATTTAATGCCTATACACTCTCACCTAAGGCCCAAGTTATAAGTTCAGGGAAGAAATCTGCAAGCAGGGAATTCCAGTCAAATGCCGTTCGCCATATAAATGTGAAATCGTTCGTGCGAATCTTGGGTATAACCACAACATAAAGTTGTAACCCCTGCCTACGTCTAGTCCCCCGATGATAGAAACGGGATGACGGAATTATTTCATTCAACTCCGTCGCACACTCTCTGTGTAGAATACTGATTAGCGACAACTTTACAGCGGTGTTCAAGGCTTTTGACATTTTTTTTAGAATATCAAGTGATAGGACAAAAACGTCGTGCAAAAACGAAGCGCCTATAACAGTTGCAATGCTACTTAGAACTTTAAATCGTAAAATCTGAGCGGTACTGCCACTAACCCATTCACTCTGAGACATAAGTTACCAAGTCCCACGTGACTGCAATTTCATCAGCACCCTACCCTTCAAAACGGGAATGTAGTAAACAGAAGAACTCTGACTGACTGAGTAAACATATTATTTATTACAACTCTTTCAGATCCGTAAAAGTATAAACATAAGAACTCTATGTACACCCCAAAAAGGATACTATTCCACATTCATTTTCAACGTTTACTTTCACAACTAAACAAAGATCATTTAAGTGTATAACCCTAGAGGTAAGTAACATTCGTGACTGTTTCAATCTTGATTCAATTTTGAACATCACGATGTTTTCATAATGCTATTGAAGTATTGGGAAAGGGACCTATTTTGGTTAGGACTTTTGTAGCAGCACTTTCAAATCCCATTGTTTTGTCACTGCATTATATGAATTGGAAGTATTTGCCCATTATTGTCATCATCATTCATAGTCCAATTTTCTCCATTGCTTGAGACAAGTCTTACGGAAGTTCGTGTCACGATGTCGCGCTTGTCATACCCATAAACAGCCCTCAACTTTAACGCTGTCATCTACTCCTCGACCTTTATGGTCGAGTGACTTGCACACCGGTTTTCATGATGTCGCCGTTTCTGAGGTCCCGATTTCGATCATTAAATCACAATGGGAAAAGCGTACACTCGTAACCACCTATACGAAACGTGACATTAAATTCAAAGCACTGTACCGGCAACATCTACTCTCACTTCAAAAATATCTGTAGTCTCTGTTTGAATTCTTTTTTTTTTGGTCTGTCTAGAATCGGATTTCATTTTTACTTTCATTTATTCACATTATACACACATCAAAAGTGTCTAGGGATCAAGTGAATATTTTTGAAACAAAAAATATTTAAGCAATATTTACCAAATCCAGTCTTCCAGGACGACTTCTTACTTTAATGCTTATGTTTTATTTAACCGCTTACCCCTATATTAAATAAAAATAAACTAAAATTGATGTTTTTGCAAATTGTGGGAAAAAACTCAAATTAACGGCGTCAATTAAATGACAAAAAAATGGCGAAAATGATGATTTTGCTCATTTTTATTGTAAAGATAAGAAAATTAATAATCTGTATTTCCACCATTAACACGAATCACACAATTACAGCGATTTGGCATGCTTAAGATGAGTTCATCAAAATCACTTTGAGGAATGGCCGCCCATGTGTTTTGTAACAAGTCAAAATATTGTTGTAGAGTATGTACGGTATGCATCTCGGCACAGCTCTTCTTTGAAGCATATTCCACGCGTGCTCAATTGGATTGAGGTCCGGCGATTAAGCAGGCCACGGCAGAACGTTGATACGAGCTTCGGCAAGAATGCGTGTTACGACTCTAGCCGTGTGTGGACGTGCGTTGTCATGCATTAGTTGAAATGAATCACCCAACTGGCCTCGAAAAGGGATGATAACATCTGAAACAATCCTCTCTGCGTAAACTTGAGCATTGAGGTTACCCCTGATCCAAATGAGATCGGTTCTTCCGCCGATCCAAATACCGGCCCATATCATTATTGTTCCCCCACCATATGGATGAACTTCCTGACAATATCTCAAACGTTCATGACGTCCAGATGTTCTCCAAACTCGAGTACGTCTTGTATCCGGTCTCATACCGAAGCGGGATTTATCCGAAAAGCACACATAGCGCCAGTCTTCTTCCTCCCAGTTTCTGTGTTCGCGAGCCCATCGTAAACGGGTCCTGCGATTGCAGGGTGCAATAGGTGGAACTCTGAGCGGCCTTCAGGATCGCAGACCCACTTCACGTAAACGATTTCGGATTGTTTGATCGCTTATTAGCAAGCCTGAGGAGCTGTGGAGTCTCGTAACCAACATCATGGCGGTCATGGTACGATTCCGTCGAGCAGTATTTTGGATATACCGGTCCTGTCTGCGAGTCGTGATGCGAGATCGTCCTCCATGTCGCTCGGCCACGCTGCCCGTCATGCGATAGCGCGTCCAGAGGCGACTTATGACGCTCTGTGTAGTGTTAAGAGTGAAAGCCACAGCACGTTGCCTGGAACCAGCTTCCAACATTCCGACGGCTCGCATCATCACTTCTCGGGTTAAATGATGTCGTCTCTCCATAATAATGTAAATTGTTTCGGTTCCGATGCAGATATTGTACCTAATGATTTTGTCAAAACGCTATAACTCATTTTTATACAAAACCACATTGACAATCGATTTTCTTCTTATTATCTATTATTATATATATATTTATTATATATTATTATATATTTAAATGTTAAAACTCAGTAAAATGTATCAATAGCGATACAAAAAAGTTAATATAATTAACCCTAATTGCAGCAATACTCTTACACGTACTTGATCCCTAGACACTTTTGATGTGTGTATGTATACGTCATATATACTAGATACAACACTTAAACTTATTTATGTATAATTTACTCTTTCAGCTGTAATTATATTCACATTCGCTCAAGCACTTATATATCAAATAGGTTATTTTAGATGCACTCATTATTTACACTTTACTATGCATAACTTTACGCATCGTCGTTATATTTTTACTTACAAATAACTTAATCCCTCTCCTTGGTCCTGACTGAAAACCAGCGCCTTAGGAAACTTTGGCATATGCTAAATCACCACCCTTTCACTGCTATGACAATCATGTTATGTCTTTTCGTTTAAACTTAATCTGTATTTGTGTTATATCAGTGAATAAAGTGTTTATCTATCTAATGAAATAATGATGGCCTCAGTGGTCGAGTGGCTTACACAATGGATTTCTTGGTGTCGCCATCTCTGGGGTTTTGATCCTCGGGCCGAGTCAATGTAGAAAAACTAACTTTTCTGCATTATTTCGGATTTGGGTGTTTGCGGTACGGTTGTTGTTTCCGATTTCCATAGCACAAGTGCTTTAGTTACTTACTTTGGGATCAGAGCAACGTATGTAATGGTGTCTAATATTTATTTATTTATCTTTGCTGTAGAACATCCTGCATTTCTCTATGTAGCTAGTCCTCCGTTTGCTGTGTCCTGTCATTGTAACACGCCTGAGTTTACCCAAGGTAAAAAGAAAATCAAATTCGAGCTTTTAAATCTTGTCATTTCTATCTTTTTCAGTTACATAGTGCCTCTGAAAGAAAAAAGCGTTGGCGGCAGACGAATGACCTTGGTCAAAATACCAGCTCCCACTGCTTTGGACAGGCCTCTCTCTGCACGTGCATTATTGGCAAGATGGCTTATGATCATGGACATAAGGTATATAATTATCCATAATAGTAATAATAATAGTGCCAGAACATCCAGCTAATTATCTGGTGTCAAATTAGGAAATTCCCTGTACTATGACTACCCAGGCAACGAAATTAACTCCGGGTTTGTAACAGAAATTGATCCTACTGAAAATCGAACACGGGATCTACTCATCCAGCGCCCACAGGGTAACTGACACAACTTCAATCGTAGAGACGTATTTCATTTCACATACCTAAACAGGGTAACTGACACAACTTCAATCGTAGAGACGTATTTCATTTCACATACCTAAAACGTAGTAAATAATAATATGTATAATGTAAAAATAGCACTCATGGTACTAACATTAAACCATATCTAGTACTAGTAGAGCTCCTTGTGAAAGAGTTCGTCCAGGAAAGTATTCCCACCCTACCTATTTCTGCCGTCAAGCGGTAATGTAAGAATTACTGCGTTTCGGTTTTGAAGGATGGTTGTTGGTGAAATTACAGACACATGGGACTTGTCTACTTATGCCTCAAGGTACAGTGTACAGTGCCTCTTAGATCTTTGTGATTTAAAGCTCTTAATGGCACTGCAACTGCTGACGCACGTCACTGGTATCTTAAAAAAATACTTACTCGATGGCGCACTTTCATCCAATAGTAAACCACCGATGATTAATAATAGTAATTAATATATATCTAAATATATACAAGGAATAACTAAAAGATATGACCAAAATTCAGGAGGCAACGACTTAAAACTATGATTATAGTTAAAAAAAAAAGAAAACATTGTCTTCGTTTACTGTTATTTTGAAGCCTCTGAATAAAATTTATATTAAAAATGAAACGAGATAAAATAACTGAAGCGGAAACAGATAAAAGAATTTGAAGCCTTTGACAGAAGTTACATTCCACCGTCATTGAAATTTAACTCCTGATTCTCTAATAATCGAAATTTTGCTGGAATTTATATTTTTTCGGATGCCACGAAATAATGAAAGAGCCAATAGTAAAAAAAAATCTTTTTGTCCTTTAGTTTAACAAGTTAAGTTTAATAAAACATGTTACGATAAAAAGAAATTGTTCCTTATACAAAATGTAGTGAAGTTGAAAAGTTTGACTCTTCTTTGCAGCAGTTTAAAAGCCATATCAGCAAATCAAATTTTAATGTATGCTAATCATTAGTTGTTCAATCTTTCTTTGCTTTGTTTACTTTGTTATAATTTTTTATTACTGGTCTCTGATCTGATTTTATTTAACTTATCATTGCTCGTCTTTGGTTATACCTTATACTTGTTCACTTGTAAGTACAGGGAAGTATAGATTTAGTAATAAGGTAATTTTTTTATACATATTGTAATTGTACAAGATTGTTCCACAATAAAAAGAAAAAAGTTAGATCATATAATCTAATAGGTAGGTACTTAAAGTTGACGAGTTTTCTATTGTGATAAAGAAAGATAAATTATTATTAACGGCTTAAAAAGAATGAAACACATTTTATTTTTTGTTTTCACTGGTATGATTATTCGTATATTTTTTTGTGTAAAAACACTTCACCACTTTGTTATTATTACTTGCCCATTTATCTTGTGACGCAATCAAGGCCATTAGTGTTCGAATGCTAAGTATTATTCAAAAGATTAAAACAATAAATAAGAATCTCTCTGTACTGATCACACGAAACAGTTTCTTTATCCTCTCCGGCCTACGCCACTGACTCTAAATCTTCTTTACAAACAACGCGGTATACTTCACTCCATATTTACAATTTCTTATTAGTTTCTTAACATTTCAGATTACGGGAAGACCCTACACCAGGTGGAGAGGTAGTATTCATCGACGTTAGTGATCTTCAACCTTCTCATCTCAAGAATCACTTCAGAGCCACTTATTGGAAGGATTTTGTTTGGTGTATGAAGGTATTTGCTTTATATTCGAAAGTTCTGAGTAGAATGGTTTATTTTTCTTTGAAAACTTTTGGGGATAAAAGGCATCGGCAAACAATCCTGTGAACAGTCGGCGTCGAAATTGTCAGAGCGTTCAAATTGTTTACAAATATCTAACATTTGTTAAGGATCAACCTTATGTCAATGACTTTATGGTGTAGTTTTGAATGTAACACATTTCGTCTGAAAACAATGGAAAGCCAAAACAAGCCTTATAAAGATAAGATGATCAAGTTTAATTCCCACCGCCGGCTTACATTCCAAGGTATGTTATAAAATATTCATTCAAGGTATTTACCTTGGTAATAGCGGTCCGAATGCCTCGTTAACTATAGCCTTGATTACGAGCTAGAGAAAAGATTAGGCCCTAAACTCTTCCCTGAAGGAGCCCATCTCCTTGACATACTAGTCATTTTATTGATCTTGACATTTGGTTGATTTCATAACGACCTCCGTAATCGAATAACAGCCTCTGTGGTCGAGTGGCTTACATACCGGTTTTCATGGTATCGCCATACCCGGGCTGGGGATCGAACCCGAGACAACGTAGAAAAACTAGCTTTTTCTATACAGTCTCGGATCTGTGTGTTTGTGCTATTGTCATTGTTTCCGATTGCTATTACACAAGTAATTTAGTTACTCAATTTGGAATCACAGTAACGCATGTAATGTTCTTTAATATTTATTTGTTTATTTTAATTTTAGCAAGCATATCCCCTACGGTTCTCTGAAGTCCACGTAATAAATACACAACGCCTGAAGACCATGTCTTTGCTACTCCTGCACATTGGTCTGTATCCCTGGCGTCGCAAGGTCGTTCAGATACACGCAAATGATGAGCAAATTAATCATGCGATGGGGCTGGACTACTTCCCTGTGGAGGGACTGCCTTATGAATATGGTGGCAAAGCTGGGGCCATGAGGGACCTCAATGGTAAGATATTTTCTGTTTAATATTATTGAAACAAAGATCGAACACAATGAAAAATTCCTTCAACTACAAAACAAAATAAAAAGGTATCAATAATAATAACAAAGTTAGGAATATTTTCACAAAAAAATATATCAATAATTTGGTAGTGAAAACATCATGATGTTCAATGAAGTAAATATTTTATTTATATATAACAATTTTTGGATTAGATAATCTGGCATTCCGTTTTAAATTCCATCATCGTCAACCCATTTATATATCCCACTGCTAGGCATGCTTTAAACATATTATAGGTAGTGTGGCCCCATTCATGCCTGACAGAGTGTGATGTTGTAGATATCACACGCTCAACTCATTTTTTCGTCCCATTGTCGGGCACGGGTCGCCTCCCAGGTGAGGGTTTTAGACCATAGTCCGCCACGCTGGCCCAATGCGGATTGGGGACGATTTTCAAGGGTTGTGAATCTTTCGCACATAAATTCCGTAAACTCAGATTCGAACCTAAGGCCTCTGCTTGAGAGGTAGGTTAAAACATTAAGCTACCATGGTTTTAAATTACAGTATCACCTCTTTAACTTTATATCTCCATGATATAAAAATTAATATCGTTTTTTATTTCAGATGAATGGACAAAAAAACTTCTATCAAATTCCAAATGGCTACAAACAGAAGAACGAAAGTTCTACGAAACAGATTTAAAACCAGAAATACGTACGAAAACTAGACACCGAAGTGCTGTTAGAAATTTACACAAAAGTAATGGCTCTTATAATATGATGACAAGGACTCATTCTTGCAGATCATTGCACAGACATGATGATTTAGACGAAGGGACTTATGGTGCCTACAGGACTTTAAAACTTTCCGATACACAATATCATGTTTAAAAAGTCAAAACAACTTGAAGTTACTGTAATTCAACTATTCGTCGACTTAAAGAATGGTTTTCCGGATTATATTATAGCGTCAAGCGTTTCACGGATTATTTCTTGTAACGGAAGTCGATCTTCGATTAAAAAATTAAGTTTTCCATGTATGTATGACGTGTTTTCATAATTATTTATCGAAGATAGACTTTCCACAATATGCTACCAGATAATCCTACAGTATTTTGGTCATATTGCTCACCGATAAGCAGACAATCTTGACAAACTGGTTGTGGTGGGTAATGTGGATGGAAAAAGACTTCACGATCGATCACCTGGCCGAATTCGTTCCCCGAGTTCTGAATCCGAGAAATGACGGTCCGAAATGTCACAGGGATCATTTTATCTCTAGGTGTACAAGCGGTATTCGTATTTTTTCGGATTCGAATGGACTTAGTGCAAAAGCGACATCCGAAGTGGGTCCAAGTTTTCTAGATTTGTATAACGGATTCAGAACGACTACTAATCGAATTCAGTGCCCTAATGCACTAACTTCAAAATTGCAACGCAGTAAATACACCGTTGCCTCTCTGGTATGTCATTACGTTTTCCTAATATTGACTTTATTAAAATACTGCTCTATTGGTGTTCAATAATATTATTATTACCAATTGGCAAATTGTAGAAGTTGTATAGACGTAAATTATGTACAAATATATTTCATATTACACCAACAAAATTGTTTCTTTATTACTTTGTTTATGGTATAAAGTTATGAGTATTGTTTAGTTATATTCGAAAATGCATAGTTCAAAATATCTTCATTTCGTACACAAGTAAATGACACTTGAAATTGACTTAATGAGTAAACACTGCCACTTCTTCCATGGGCAAATTGCCTTGAGAAGAATGACTAAGAAACTGCTGTGATTGCTCTATACCAATGTTCATGGTTATCTTTTATAACGTTCCTGAAAAAACTAAAGGCATCATCCCCATAATTTTTTGTCATTCAAGTTACTCAGAAATTGTTTAATACATATTATTTTGCATAAAGTTTTTGTTTTACAACAGTTTATAAGTATCTTATTATAAAAGTGTAAGTATGATTGCCTCCTGCAAAATCCATTAGACTTTATAGTGTGTGTACTACACGTAAAAGTACATAAATTGGCATTTCATGTTTTGCTTACTATTTAACCACACAGTAGACGTGGGCAAAGCTATTGAAAGCTCATTACTATGCGTCTTACTACGAACGAAGCCTTTGAAATGTTGTACTGGAGAAAAATAGAGAGAATCAATTGGACAGAGAGAGAAAGCAATAAAGAGGTATTAAGACAATACAGTACAGCAGGGTAAAAATGTGTAACGACTGTTTTGTAGAACCATTATGGGAGAAAGATCCAAGGACTGGCAGTGGAAAGACTAAATGTAGTTATCTATATCAAACAATGGGAATGTTACTCAATGTTAGGGTGCTGAGCAGAAATATTGATGATAACTTCATAGATAGGACTATAGCTCAGAAATAAGAATAATTAAATAACGTGCACACTCATAGCTCCGCACTAGGGAAACACTGTGTCGCGGATGCCATGGACACACACATAGAGAACCACAAATTACAACCAAACTCACCAGGGAAATAAATGTAGGCCATACAAATATTTCTCCCCGGGAACTCGTCATAAGAAATAACTTTTCAGGTTTCTTCCCAGCAATTCTTCGGGAATACGAAACCTATGTGCTTACGCTCTCGATATAATTTTAGTTTATTTCTCTCAACATTACAAATTTCGTACAAATTACAATTACCTACTTGTCATTTTATACTACTCTTCAAAAAGTGAGCGTTGGTTTACAAAATAATGAAGAAATAATTATATAATAGTAAGTTATATGTGCACAATAATATACATGTACAAATTAACATAATTAATGACACTAATAAATAATTGAATTAAACTAACAATGTCAAGTGTATATAGGAAATGTCAATAAGTAACTGGAACATTTATTTAAAAAATCCATTATAGTTTAATATCGAGATTGCATCCTCGAGACACACCGTGTCCCTGACGATTGTGGTAAAAAAGTATTTTTTTTTTAATTTAAAATTTTTCAAAAGTGGTGGGTGAAAACACAGTTGCGATTTAGAGTCACCGTGTAGTTCTGGGACGCTACAGTTGCGATGAGCGACTTTGAATGTTATTACTACTAATCATTCGAATGGGCAAATCATTCGCCTAATCCAAGCACAATTATTCGACTCGAATCGAATGATAACCGATACTGAATGCCCCTGCCATTTGGTCGATGGTACGAGTCCATTCACCATGTCCATATCAAGTAAGCCTGTCCCCGTAAGATTTACGGTATTTACCATATCGTCGAGGATAGTGCAATTACGCGTAACTAGCATTGGATTATGAGTTTCCATTTCGGTAATTTAGTGGAAAAATCAAACCCGCGTAAATTTCGCGGCAACCAAATTAGCGTGATTTGCGGGAATCTATTGTTATGAGTCCGTAGACAACATAAATTAATGCTTACTGTGGAAAAATTACCGTCGTAACCATTGAAATAACAAAGTAATAACGCTAAATCACTCTCACTGTAAAAGTTGGTTTACTGCAGATACGCGGCTTTTACCAATGCTACAAGCGTATTTGCACTATCCCCGGCGATATGTCAGAGAGGGTCAGGCAGAAATGTAGAGCATGGAATGTATGGATTAGTAATGAATAATCATTCATATCATTCGAATACGAAAATTAGTCGGTTACTAATTTGTCATTCGTATGACAGGATTAGTAATTACTAACAAGTCGAATATCGACATCATTAGGGACACCTTGTGTCTCTAGGACGCGTGACAGTTGATATTGAGGGCGTGTTACTTATTTACTATCTTACACTGTATAATAATAATAAAAAAGTAAACTAGGTACAACAAGTTCCTTTTCATCATCATCATCTTCTGTTATTGTATGTATCATATATAAATTTATTATGTATTATGTATACAGATAAATCTGTATACATAATACATATATACAAACCTAACATAAGGTTTGTTTGTTATATATATTTGATTATATATTTATTACATTTGTGTTATTATTAATTTAATATTTTGTTTAATTTGCCGCATTCGTGAATTTCGTTTTCCTCAAAGGTTGACTGGTAGAGAATGCTTTTAGCATTAAGTCCGCCTTTTGTATCATTCTGTGTTGTGGTCAATAAAGTTTAGTAAATAAATAAACAAGTTCCTTTTTAATGATATACCATAGAAATAAAATTTAATGATCTCGGTGACTCAGCGGTTAACATTGTTACCGCTAGATGAAGACGTCTCTGGTTCTTTTGAATTCCCAATGGGACTTTTTGGAAATCAAACTACTCTTAATTAATCCTGATCTGGGTATCCTGGTTATGCCCCGGAATCATTTCGTTCCTCTGATACTTATAGGGAATTTTCTAGTTTAAGACCAGGTAATGAATTGGTGCGGTTGTTCAGACAATTTTTAATTATTTTTCGTTGTGTGGTACCAGTGCCATACAACGAAAAATAATCATCAAAAGAATGATAGTTAAACTATGACTTATGTGTAATTTTTATATTTCATAACGGAAAGTAAAAATTCGTCAATATTGTATAACAATTGCTCATTGCTTGCAACGCATAAATCAAACAAATAAAGAAAAACAAGAAATGAAGAAAAAAGGAAAACCAGAAAAACAAAAGTAATAAAATTAAAGAAAGAAAAAACATAACATAGAAGCTAGAAAGTGTATTTTTAAGTGCATCATCTGATCAAATGTAAATACAACTATGTTTCTTAGCAATTACAATAACAGTCTACTACAACTCTTTCTTCTTTGAACCCAAATATAAAGTAATAAAGTTCCATTTCAGACGATTATACTTCAAGAATGTAAACAATTGCTTTGCGAATTTTGTTTTTAAACTTTCTGTTTTATCCTAAAGTCGTTAGAGTAGAAAATGTAACGTGTTGGATTGAAGTTTCAAAGCATTGAAATAAACCAAAATGGGTGCATCGTTAGTGCAGCCATTGTAAGTGAAAGGTTGCAAATGCACTGAATGAAGACTACCTTTTACAACAGACGATTCTAAAGTGGAACAATTTTACAGAGCCAATTTTTGATGCTGTTAATGACAGCATTAAAAACAACATACCCTTGATATAAGAAAGCCACATAAAGTTATCCAGTATTGAGTACTTTATCTTCATTCGTTCAAAATAACTTAACTGACAATTGTGATTTCTGAATTAGTTGGCAGCTTACTTCAATAATCCAATCAAGGTACACTTTACAGAGAAATAATTAAACAGATTTATTCATATCTGCAACTCGTTGGTTAGAGTTAGATGATTTTTTCGTTGGGAAATCTTCCTAGTATTATCACACATTACTGTTTGATGGCTGAAATAGGCAGTACTTCGATAGACGAATTCTTTCACAAAGAACTCTGCTATCTGTTTCGTTTATATTTTTTTGTTCATCTACAATTTGAATATTAACGACAGAGTTTAAAGCACAGAAACGATATAAATATTGACACACATATTAATCATATACATACTATACTTTGGCGAAACCAAAGAAAGAAGAACATAAAATAGTATTTAAGACAAATTAGCAGCTAAATTAACACCGTTTAGCATCTACTCAGTACAGCCTTACTCAGCTTTTATTGAAAAAAAATATCGAAATTAAATGCATTTTTTTGATTTTGTGATGAAACAGAAACAGCTGAGACTTTAAAAATTTTACAACATACGAAATTTACAAGAACGCCAAATCAAACCCGAACTACTCGACAAACCTGTGTTAGTTGGATATTAAAACAAATAACGAAAAAGTGACTGTCGACTATTTTATATTTCCAAAATAAGACCTCAAATAAAAAAAAATATCCTAAAATAAACCATTTTATAAGAAATTATACATTAGATTATTATACATTTAATAAGAAAATAAAACAGAAAAAAACGCTGCAATATTATGGGGATTTGCTAGTTTTTTTTATAGTATCAAGACATGACGGGACGAACAAGTCGCTCGACTGATGATAAGCTACAAGCCTGTCCATAACAGTTGCAGAGCTTTAAATCCCAAAGATCTGACTGCTGCTACGCCCGTCACTCTGAAACATAACTTGAGAAGTCCCATGTGCCTATAATTTCACCCTTCAAAACCGGAACACATATGCGGACATTACGGCAGAAATAGGAAAAGTGGCAGTACTTACATGAACGAACTTTTTCACAAAGAGCCCTACTACTAATGAAAAATAGTCGTCAAATGTGCCTGTACGTATATATTTGCTACCCATTCTATCTGAAGATATTACCCGTCTATCTGTTTTCCTTCTCCAATGTAAACACTAAAATGGCGTCGAGCGCTGTAAAAAAGAAACTGATACATATTATAAAAAGTAAGTGGAGATAATGAGCTCCGATCCGCCGAGCGACAAGTTATCTGACCGCAGACTTTCTAATCTGTAACATAGAGCAGATTATAACAGTATATCTATATACTATATAAATACATCATGATGTATGTATAATTAATAATTCATAAATTGTATCATGAAAAGGATCTAATTTTTGTGTCGCGATATTGCCTTCAAGTGCAATGGTGTAAATGAAAATTTCGGAATCGTCTTAGATGGTTGCCCTAGTTGAAGAAATTTGTGTCCTTGTGTCACTAGTTTGTGACTTATAGTTTTGAATAGGACTGCTTTTACGTGCCAGAAAAATCCATAATTTCTGTATATCGTTCCAAAAACTTGAAGTAGCGCCTCATTGTAAGCGACACGCCTGTTCATAACAGTTGCAGTGCCACTAAGAGCTTCACATCGCAAAGATCTGAAAGATACTACCACTGCGCCCGTCACCCTGAGACATAAGTTAACAAGTCCGATGTGCTTGAAATTTCACCAGCACCGTTACCCTTCACAACCGGAACGCAGTAATGGTCACATTACTGCTTGACGGCTGAAATAGGTAAGGTATATAATAATAATCTCTCTTATATTGGACAAACGAAGCGAAGTATTTGTACCCGAGTCAAAGAACACATAGCTGATGTCAAACACCGTCGCGTAAACAAGTCTGCAGTCTGTGAGCATGTCATAGGTAAACCATGACATGCTCACAGGCCAATTCAAAGTTTGACAAACCCAACACTCAAGTTTGAAAAATTCAATCGAGTTTGACAATTCCCAGGTCCTTACAAAAGAAGTCCATTATTTACCCACGATGCTGTGAGAGGCCATTGAAATTAAAAAACCTCCTTATTCCAACAGGGAAGATGGTTTCTCCGTACCACCTGATGAAAAATTCCAAACAGACGTAGGACTGCAGTACTGATTAATATGTTTTAATTTATTCTAATTTCCATGATTAATTAATAATAAATATAACTTAATAAAAATTCATATTGTTAAAATAATTTGTAAAACGGACGTAGCGTAAATTCGAATGTTCTATGTAAAATTAAAAATAAGGTATTTAATTAATAACTTTTGTAACTATAGTGAAATAATGATCAGTACAGAGTACTAAAAAAACCGACCTCACAAGTACGTGGAATTACGTCTATTTGCTAAGTTTTATTGAAATATCCCCTAGTTCGCCACTATACAGGACTTGGCACTGGAGATAATAAAAATCTGTTCTCACTACTCAAAGTATATTGAGAGAAAAACTCCTTGAATTGGAGAAATAGCAAAATCAACCATTAAAGTAATTGCTCCTAAATTAAAGTTAGGCGCTATTTATAAAAATGAATCTTCATGCGTGAACAGCCACCCTTCGAGGTGGACGATTTTCTTCAAAACAAAATGGGAACACTATGGAAGTACCCCCTTTCCAACAAAAAAGAATCATGAAAATCGGTTCATAAATACCGGAGTTATCGCGT